TGAAGTTCTGTTGTTGTTGCATGCTTATGCCCCCAGCTTCAAACTGGAATCCAGCAAAGCATTTTTACTTAAAATTTACTGGTGAACTTTATAAAGCTTGGTCTCTGCTTGCCTGTACCTGTATTGTGTGTAAATTCATTGAATTGCTCTACATACAGTTAAAAATGTAGAGATTGCATGTCTTTTTATTCAGTGCAAGTACAGATGTACAAACAGAGTGCACTTTCAGAACTGCCCCTTCAGAACTTCTTGTAGTCATGCAGAAGATAAGTAACACCTTAGAGGGAAGAAGACCTCCAGCCAAAACAATTTTCAAACAATCTTAAAGTGTAATTTATCTTCTTATTTTGCAGCTAGCTATGGACCAAATCCAATTTGCAAAGGTTGTTTATCTTGTTCAAAGGATAATGGGTGCATCACATGCCAACACAAGTTATTCTTCTTCCTACGAAGAGAAGGAATGAGACAATATGGTGAATGCTTGCATTCCTGCCCATCGGGGTACTATGGACTTCGAACGCCAGATATGAACAGATGTTCAAGTGAGTCATTTTTTTGAACTATTACATTTGCTTTTGTAGGAAGGCCATAATTCATGCTCAGTTTTTAAGATGGCATGCTGTGGAACATAATGATATTTTCACAGAGTTCTCAAGATCATCATAAGACTTCTTTGCTGAAGAATGCCTCAGCTCATTCCAAGATATGTAACATTCAGCAGATTAAATAGTTGATGCATTGAACTAATTTTTATTGTTGTTGTTATTTTTATTGTTATTAGTGTTTTAGTTAGAAGAGAAATTTAGGAAAGAATGATGGTTTTAGCAGATATTCCTAGTTTTAAGAAACAAGGATTAAGAATGATTTTAACAGTGCCTCGTGTAGGTATTAGTTATTGCTTGCACTAATGTATGGGTGGGCTTCTTGTCATACTTTTTGTACCCACACAAATTTCAGGTGACCAGACACCTCACACCAGACATGCTTTAATATGTAAGTGTTTCTAATTTAATAAAACAGATGTGCTATTAAAAACAAACAAAAAACCTTTCACTTTTAGTGAAACATTTTATTTGGAAATTTACAACCTGCTAATGTGCAACAAGATTCCCTGTTTGCATGTTTGTGCCTAGAAGCCCAACTGTTAAAATCAACGAGTGTTCTGGTATCTCACATTATTTCACCTCTGTCTGGCAGTTGTGCTGATTCATATCGATTTTCCATATGCTCATATGTGGAATATTGCCCATATGGATTATTAATCTTTGCTATTACCTCTAATTTGTATTTAGGGGGGAATGTTTTTGTCATAGTCTAACCAGAATCAGGTCACCAAACCTAAGAACCTGAAGTGAGAAACAGCTTTTCTTTGTTTCCTGAAATAATCAAGTGTTTGTTAAATGTGCAGCACTTTCCCCTCAGTGCTGTGCCATGTTACTGGGATGCACCGTGTTGAGAGAAGCATGTGCTGGCTTTCACACCACACATAGTCTTGAGACCCGAGTGAGGGCACTCAGTGGCTCTGGGCTGGATGAGGAGCACTTACGACCATGCTTGGATCCATCCCAACCCATCCCACCTCTTCCTCCTCATTCGCTGTGTGGGCTCCATGGATATCGTATTCTTCCCAACTGCTGTGTAATATTGCACAGTGCTGCCTAATCTGTACCAGGTGGTTAGGTTTCAATGAAAAAATTAAATGAGAGCAGGATATGGTTTATGTATCCATTCTGCAAAGTAATTTAGAACCTTGGCCCTAATTTTCGTAACCCATTTGCGAATTGAACAACTTCTTTACTTGAAACCTCTCAAAACTGGCCTATGAAAACTTCCTCATGTAAAAATGTTTTTGAATATATTTATAGGTTTGGGAAATAGGTTAATTTGTCTGTATTAGCCTGTACTGTGTTTCTGAGATAGGAAAGGTAGTCTGTACTAGCAGTATTCTTTACTTTCTTAAAAAGAAAAAAATGGAAAAGTTAATTGCAGAAGTTGGAGGGTGAATTCAATATAGCATTTTTTCGTTTTTACCACTTATGGGAAGCGGTCTTTTTCTGTGAATTACAGGATTGATTTTGAAAAGCATAAATGTGAGTTGTGTCCAACTCATATTGGCGTGTGTTGAGCTCTTGGTATTTATCTCACTCTCACGCCTTTCACAGTCTCCTTCTGTGAGAATAGTGATGCAGTTGCATTTACTGACCAGTCCTCGTTCCCCTGCAATGATTTTTGTATTACATATTTTTATTTTAGCGTAACTGCCAACTGGTGTATTTATAAATCACGTATTCATTTTTTTTCTTGGTTTGGTGATCCTGCATGGCACATAGGAAGCATTGCAGACATACAGACTTTTTGTGGATTGAGGTTGAGTTGAAATAAACATCCTTAAAGCTAGAATAGGTTGCTTCCTACTTGATGTTAGATACTCTTAGGTATGCTTAGTAAAGACTGCATTGCTCAGACAGTTCTGTCTCAGCTAAAAATAATAAAAACTTTGGCTATGCTAAAATCCTTCTGGGAGTTATAGGGCTTGAATTACATTAGTTGAAATGATTTCTACCCTATTAATGTCTTTATAGGCACAAAAGCTGTTTTAACATTTTATTACTGGAACACTTGACCATTTTTGTTAGAGAAGCTATAGAACATATTTTTATGGAAAATGTTGACATGATTTTAAAAACCAAACATAGTTAGTGCCAAATGTAACACAATAAATACTACAGCCAAGTGCAGCAGGTCTAAAATTATGGCAATTTTGGATTTCAAGACAGATTTTCTTTTCTACATGTAAGAAGTATGTGTGTCTTGAATTTTCTAACTGGTTCTAGACTGTTTTTTTAGTAACAGTGAATAATGAAATTTGAGACTGCTTGTCTCTAGAAATCAATGTAGAGTCTCCTACTGGACATGATTTCCTTGAACACTGCAGTATGAGAATGCAGTGCTTTTGGACATGAGATGGGAATGTGTTGAGTTTCTGCTCTAGAAGAATGCCCAGGAGAAGAGCTTCACATTGTTAATTTTCCAAGAAATTTTTAATAATTGATGACTTTGAACTAAACTGCTCAAGAGATAATATCATGAGAAAAAAAGGAAACTGATTTAAATAGTAAGATGAAATCTTTCACCTTAATGGTTGGACTGATTAATGGATCAAGCCTATCTTGAATCTTTCAGCTTAGTCTGTGGTTACAGTAACCTTTATAATTTTAGGGGGAGGAACCACTCAGTATAGAAATTACAGCTCCCTTCATCTTTGGTTGGCTACTTCATTTGCTTAGGTTTATCTTCTCCTAGGAGGGTCTGGCATGGCTAAAATTATAATTTCCCCTTCCATTTGTCTTCATTAAAGATAAGATAAAAAGCAGCTTTTAAACAAATTGAGCATTTATTAAGCACATATAGTTAATTGAATGCATTTAGAAAGGTAATGAAATTTTTAACATTGTTACAAAATAGCAAGACATCATTAATATATCCTTGCTTGACTATACTTCTGTAGTATGGCGGAGCATATGACCTTTTGAGACTGTTGCAGACAGTGCAATTTTAGTAGTCAGGTGGTTCAATTACCACAAAATTCTGGAGAGGATTAGCACAGGAGGTGGTATAGTTGACAGATTGATGTGGAGTGCCAATGGACACATCAGGATGGTAGCGTGAAGTTAGATCTGTAGCACCAGTGCTGTTGCAGTGAGCAGCTGAGGGATTGGAGCGGGAGTTGGAAGAGTGAGTGTCATGGTCGTGGGAGCAGACTGGGAATAGGTGAAGTTAGAAAAGAGACAGAGAGATTTGAGGCAAGAAGAGCGGGGTGCTGTGAGCCAGAGCTCAGGGTGAAAGACCAAAGTATTAGGTGTAGCAGTGTAGTGCATCATCATGTACTACTCTGACTTCTTAAACACAAGGGAACACCTCAAGCAAGGACCCAATTCCAGTTCCAAGACTGCAAAACCCTTTGATTTAGGAATGCCATGTTTCCTTTGTAGTTTTAGTCTGTATCTTCTTTATGCAAAATACGATCATTTTCTCTCAGTATCGCAGGCATCAAGTACATTTGAGGACAGCTCTCTCTCATACACTGGTGTTTGCTGGTTTCCACTCATGCAGATCTCCTCAAGTGTTCTCACTTCTCTTTCTGATACGTAACTGGTCTTCACTGGACTCTGGATTTCATGTGGAGCAGAACTTGCTGTGAATCATTGTTGTTATTAAGATTACTAGGAATTGAACACCTCTCTTTTCCATTGTGCATACTACAAAGTACCTTTGTTATTAAGGGAGTTATGAACATAAAGTAAATCACATTTACTATGGGACAATGTGACAATGGAAATACTACAAAATATGGATATTTCATAAATGCAAAATGAGGCCCTTAAAATTTTCAAGATTATGCATATCAGTAAAAATACTTTACAAATGAGCCACTACATTTTATATTCAAGATACATATCTTTTGACCTTAAAATTCATCATATTGCACTTAGCATGAGAAACTAAACTTCTTAAGATGTGTTAAAACACCAAGTACATGCATCTCAATATGGAGCATTTTATTCTTTATTTTCAAAGGCATTATATTTGCCTACAGTTCAGCTTATTCTGCATCTCCTTATAAGCTGGTGATAAATTTAGAATGGAAAGATTGTATTTGTTGTGGTAATGTTGCGCTCTCTGTAGTGATAGCACAGAGAGAAGCTGTTTATAGGAGCATATACTCTTCTTTTACAGTAACAGAAACGTGGCACCTGAGCTTAAATTTAATTCTATATCTAAATTTGTATTTTGAACTCCCAAGCTTTTGATTCCTTCTCTGAAATGTATATCAATTCCTTAATGTTCGTTTTAGAAGAATGAGTAGCAGTGGCTTATCATGACTGTCAGGAAGCCAAAGCAGGTCATGAAAATCTTTTAATATCACTATGATTCATCTTCTTAAAATGTATCTCTAATTTGAGCATGATTTATAGCATGAGCTTTGTCATTTCAGAATTGCTTAATGTACCATTTATGTAGTTTTCTATAAATACTGTAAGTTTCATCCATGTCGATTTTTTTATGATATTCAAGTAAATGGCAGTATAAATGAGATTTTAGAGTCTAAATAAAAATGTTTTATTGCTGGCTAGCTAAATGCACTTCTTCTATATCATATTAGTTGCCCTGAAACATGTCTCATAGCTATTTTTTTTTTTCAAAATTATTTATTTTTGCAAAAATACTTCTGAAGAAAATTATTTCTGAAGTGCCATGAGGTGCTAGAGTTCCCTGAAAGCTAAGCTTTAGGAGTTTGGCTCCTAAATCCTGTAGATAACTTATCTTTTGCCACTCTCTTTCAGAAAACAAACTCAAGATGTTTTCAACTTCTGCCCTTGGATTCTTTTATGGCAATGGCCTTTTTTTCATAAGGGAATTATTTTGACTGTTTTTTTTTCTCCTCTCTGGAATCAAAGAATATTGTCCTTCAGTTTGGTAGTTGTCCTGGCCATTTACTGAGGACTGACACAGTACTAGCTCATGGAGTTACGATTCCTGA